GAGCGCGCCCCGCCCCGGCCGCCATCTTGGTTGCGGGCATGAAGAAGAAGGGCAGGACCGCCCCCCCTACAGCCGCCATCGGCAATTAATTAACAAATTCCTCATTAGCAGCTGCGCCCAGGGTGTTGCAACCTGCGGCACCTGGACTGGGGGCTACTCACCTCTGCCAGCGTAAGAAGCAGCACAGAAACGCCTCAGGCGGCAGGTGCTGCTGCTGAGGGCTCCGCCGTGCCCACCTCCAACACACAGCACCAGCCCCGACAGGGCTTGGTTCCTCTTCCTTAAATAAAGACCTGCCAGGTCTCACAAGAGCATGTTTCTTTTTTTTTTTTATTGGTCAAATAAAAAGCATTACATCTGAAATATTTTAAAAAAAAAAAAAAAGGTATCTAAGGAATAACCGTGTTCCTGGTACAGACACCTCCAAAGGCCCAGGGTTCCCAGGAACAATCCAGGTGCCACAAAGGCCCCATCCAGCCTGGGGCCCTGGCCACAGCTTGGATTTTTCAAGTCAACAGAATATAGGTAAGGAACTCTGGTCTTTTGCCCCACAGAATTTATAGTTGCAATGAATAGTGAGCACCATTTCTCCATAGGATTATTTCCGAATAAGAATGCAAATAATCCTTAATAGCACTGAAAGATTAAGCAAAAAAAATCTAGCAGAGGGCTAAGGGTCACAGAGCAAACTGGAAGGGCTTAATTCCCCACTCACAGGAACATGCTGAAGTGGAACTTCAATAATTTGTCTTACCGATCCTTCACTTTGGTGTCCATTTTGCTATAACCAGTTCTTTACACAATGCGTTTTCAGTGATCAGACAGCTGGGAAAAGGAGCTTACTTTTATCTCAGAGCATCACCGAAGGGCCTGTCTATGGACCTCAGTGTGCACAAACCTTCGGGACACCACAGCATTTCAAAGGCAGCAGGTTTCTTTGGACAAGTGGGTTTTTATCTGCCTTCCAAAGGAGGACCGGAATAGGTACAAAACAGCACTTCTTAACAGCAAATCCTTTAACTCATCTGGGACATTTCTTCCCCAGATAAGGAAATTCTCACTTGGACTTTTCCAAATAAACCTTCTGAGGGCAGCAAACCAGCTCAGAGCAAGACAACGGCCTACACCAGAACAAAGCCACTGACTCTGAAATAAGCCCTTCCCTGCAGCCGGTTTTCAGCAGAGAAATTCTGCTGAAACTGCAAGTTGACAGTTTTACTCCTCGAACTAATACTCACTAAGGATTGATGCTCTGGAATGACTTTTGCCAGGAAAAGGAAGGAGCCAGAGGAACAGAACAGACCTCGCTGCACCAACCCAACTGTAAGAATAATTTTTAATAGACGCTGCAGCGTGATACATTTACCACGTTTACTGGGCAAGTAGGGGAGGTCAGCGTGGAGGTGACTCCCAGTGTGCCAAAAGGCTGTTTTCTCAGGAGCTTGTTGCTGAAGAGCCTTTCCCAGAAGGAAAATGGAAACTCTTAATATCTGATTACAACTGACAAAATCCAACAGACATTGGGATAAAAGCCCGCTGATAATGCCCCTTTTTTTTTTTCTTTTTTTTATAATGTACTTAAATTACACAAGTAGAAAAGTTATGCTTATTAATAGTTTAATGTATGAAGGAAACATCCAGATTTCTGAATATGAAGGTACATATCTCACATTAATTTAAGTCTACATAAAGTAGAGCCTCTATACTGACATATTGAAATTTACTTTCTGCTTAGCCATTTGTTATGTAAACAATTGTACATTTATTTGCCATTCTAAAACTTCAGGATCAAGTTTACATAATTTTGCTAAATTTCTGTGTTTGCTCAGAAGCAGTTTACAGTACTAAAACCAACCAGCCAAAGAACAGCTTCAACAGAAAGTTATGTCAAAAAAAAAAAAAAAAGAGGAAAGGAAAGAAGAAAGGCTAACTAAGTTGAAACGTATGATGGTGGGGAATGGGCGGTCACAATGTTCACAGAAAAAGGTCAGTTAGTAAGTTCTTCTGCAAAAAGCCTACACACTTCAGTCAAGCACATCAGTAGAATGATCTGGGAGCACATAAACTGTTTCTGCCGTTTTGTGTTTTTTCCTCTGCAAAAAAGGGAATCTGGAGGCTCGCACGTTGATCCCACTCAGCCCAGTTGGTTCATATGCACGCTGTTCATGTGAGGTGTCCAAGTTCCAGTCCACACCTGGAAGAGAAGGCTTCATTTAACAGAACAGCTCAGAAGTCATAAAACTACACACAAGGTGGCAATCAATCATCAAACTGCACCGAGCTCCTTTCAGCACTTCTTTTATCCTGATGGAATTCCAGGGAGAAAAGAGGGAAGTGAGGGTTTCGGTCTTTCTGCCTGTACTTTTCCACCTTGGCCAAAAGGTCCATCTTCCTCTTCCTTTCTACTTAGTGCAAAAAAATAGTCACCCCGCCTGACTGCTGTCTTTCACAGCAAAACCGAAGAGAGAAATCAGCGCTATTTATGGCCACCAGTTCCTCCAGCATCACAACACTGATGTAACAGTTAGTTTACTGTTCCACAGGAAAAATGGCTGCAGACAGCAGCTCCCAGCTCTGGTCATTCCCCAGCAAACACACTCCAGAAATATCTTCATGTAATTACAGTGTAACAGAGCTCACTGTGTAATTCCAAATAAACACAGGATGTAGTGTAACAGGAGCTACTGATGATCCATTAAATACGAGTTGCTGGCTGAGTATGAACACGAGGTTTAGGGGAACACAGAATCACAGAATCACAGAATTGTGGTGGTTGGAAGGGACCTCAGAGATCATCGAGTCCAACCACAAAAAAAAACCAAAAAAAAAAAAAAAACCAAACCAAAAAAACCAAAAAAACCCCAAACAAACAGACCACCACACCACCTAAACACACAACAACAACCAAACCAAAAATCCATCACCCACCCACTCAGCAGCCCACGACAAACCAATAATCTTGGGCACTAGAGCATGCCCTGAAGAACCATGTCTACACGTTTCTTAAATACCTCCAGGGATGGTGACTCCACCACGTCCCTGGGCAGCCCATTCCAATGCCTGACAACCCTTTCAGTAAAGAAATGTTTCCTAATATCTAACCTGAATTTCCCCTGGCATAATTTGAAGCCATTACCCCTTGTCCTATCATCTGTAACTTGGGAGAAGAGACCGACCCCCGTCTCTTTACAGCTTCCTTTCAGGTACTTGTACAGAGCGATAAGGTCTCCCCTCAGTCTCCTCTTCCCCAGACTGAACAACCCCAGTTCCCTCAGCCTCTCCTCGTAAGACTTGTGCTCCAGACCCCTCACCAGCTTCGTTGCCCTTAACACAATCCCTATCCCTAAATCGTGTTTAGTGGCCGAGCCCACAGCCCAGGAGAGATGGGAGGAGCAGAGAGAAGAGCTATGTGCTCCCTCGCAAGGTGAACTCCCAACACAGGGGGGGACATCACCCCTCCCAGAGCCCAGCAGCCATCCTTTGGGAAGGGAAAGCTTACAGAACAGCAAATAAATGGCCTTTCTGACTGCATTTTCCCAAATCCAGAAAAAGGACAGACAGAAATCATGTAAAATACACTGTGTAAAACTATCTTTTGTATGCAGGCTTGCCTACAATCAACAAAAGCTGATCTGCAGTAATTAACCTGGTGTCTGATTAAACAGGCAGCTTCTCTGAGCTCAGCTGGAAGAAAGCTTCCCCATCCTCAAGCACAGATGCATAGACAGGAGTCACTACAGCCCATTCCTTTGAATTCCAGTAACCCAGCCATGCTGATTTCTTCTCGGGACAACTGAAAACTTATTTTTGGAGAGATGTCTAATATTTAGAAGCTGTCAGGAAGCAGGTACAGCACTCGGTGCTGCAGTGAGTCAGGGGTGGGGGGGGGCTCTATCAGCTCCTTAGAGACCAGCCAAGAGACCTCAAACCAGGACAACTGTATTTTCCCACTTTCTAACAGCTCGGGCTTTATCTTCACCACCCTGTTTCTGAAGTTAAAACAAAATCGTGACTGTAAAACTGGAAAGATTACCGTCTGAGGCCCGTTGTTTTCTGTGGAATTTGAAACCATCTTTATCAGCGAGTTCCAAGATGGGTCAGCAGCATGAGGCCCGTTGAAGATAGGGCCTCCAGTACCATCTGCGATGGGGGCTACAGGAGGCATCATCGCGTTCCCATACACAGAGAAAGGCATACCCTGGGGGGAGGAAAAGCAACAATCAGGATGTATTCACAAACACTGGGACTGCTGCACACACACAATGACAAAAGGGGAATCTGTCAGAGAAACTCTCCATCTTAAAGCAGTAATGACACGTCTGGATTTAAGAAAAGCCTTTCTATGCATATATTTATTACATCAGAGACAAGTTATTTTTGATTAGACTTAGGCTTCTGCAATACCGTGAAGGCTAATTAGTGTTTTGCCTTATGCCTGCTCTACTGTGCAGTGAGCCACCCCCCCGTGTGGTTCCTCGCCCCACGCTGACATTGAAATGGGGCTGTACCGCGCTGAGCAAGGGCAAGAAGTGGTCATTACCCCGACTTTTGGGAAGTCCATGTATCCTGCAGGAAGGGGCTGATGGAATGTACCGGAAGGCGTTACGATGCCCGCGCTGTCTCTCTCCATGGCTTGGTGCGAGAAGACCCCCGGGTCCGACATGGGCCTGTGGATCATGTGGCTGCCCATCCCGCTGTGACACCAGTCCACTTTGTCTGACAACAACAAGGACACAGCCACAGCGTTACACACCAGCACCCCTTCCCAGCCTGGCTGCACACTGTGACCTTTCTCTAAGTGACTTTTGCTCTGCTGATGGTTCCTCTGCAGAGGAGGGCAACAAAACTAGTGAAGGGCCTAGAAGACTAATCATATGAAGAGCGGCTGAAGGAGCTGGGGCTGTTTAGTGTGAGGAAGAGGAGGCTGAGGGGAGACCTCATCACTCTCTACAACTACTTGAAAGGCCACTGTAGAGAGGTTGGTGCTGGTCTCTTCTCACAGGTAATTAACAATAGAACGAGAGGGAACGGCTTCAAGCTCCAACAGGGGAGGGTTAGACTGAACATTAGGAAGGAATTTTTCACCGAAAGAGTGGTCGGGCATTGGAACAGGCTGCCCAGGGAGGGGGGGGAGTCCCCATCCCTGGCTGTGTTTAAGGGCCGTTTAGATGCAGTGCTGAGGGATATGGTGTAGGGGAGGACTTTGTAGAGTAGGGGAGATGGTTGGACTCGATGATCCCAAGGGTCTCTTCCAACCTCAATGATTCTATGATCCACCAGCATTAAAACCTCAGGATGGAGAGCATCAGGAATGGCACCTGCACGTTAAATTTACTCTGCAGCAGGAACCCTGAGCCAGCACAAGGAGTTTTGAGCACTTATATCCAACCCCAGCATCACCTCTGCAACTTCCCTTCGTTTGAAAGGGAAAGCTGGCTTTTGTGCTAACTCCTCCAAAAACCTGAATTCCTCGTGCGTTTGGTGCTGTGAAAGGGGTGTGCTACAAAGGCTATTTGCTCCTCTTCATTACCATCCCTTCAAGAATTATTTAATGAACTAAGAGACAGAGAAGTACTTCTGAAAAGCAAAACTAGAAAACAACCAGCTCATGTTCCATTACGTGAATTCATTAAAGGCAGCTTGGTGTTGCTACTGCAGTTCCAGGCTCAGACCTCCAGAAAGGCAATTTGTCAAAATAAAACATAGGGCAATTATATTTGGAGGGGCAGAGAGGAACACAGAAACATTCCTAAGCCATCCCAATACCCAGAGAAGAGCCAATCCCATTCTGAATAGAAAAATCAAAATGTTAGATTAACTGCAGTAAGCAGAAAGCCAGCAGCATTCTGAAAGCCCAGACAAGACAGAAAGGGCAACTTTTACACCTGGACATTGCAAATAAAGATACTCAGTTTCTAAAGCCCTAATGATGCACAGATTCTCACTAGGCAGGTGGGGAAAACAGCACTAAATGAAGTGAAAAAAGGTTTGGATAAATCCTGTTTTATATTTGGGGAAAAACCACCCAGGAGAGATACTGATGGCATGCAGAGCATGTAGACAGCCAGCCTATCAAAACCTTAAGCTGTTTGGGCTCCTCAGCCATGCAGGGGAACAGGTTGTTCAGAGACCTTGAGCAGTTTCCATCCTCAGAGGTTTTCAAGATCAGAGTGGATAAAGCCCTGAGCAACCCGGGCCGACCTTGCAGCAAATCCCACTCTGTGCAGGAGGCGGGCACGACCTCCAGAAGTACTGTCCAGTGTGGTCTCACCATTCCCTCCCCATCAGCACAGGCAGAAAAAAACCCAAAACAAACAAAAAACCCAACCCCAAAACCCACTGGGAAAAAAAAAAATTGCATCTAAGACTCCTGAAGCATTTGCTGAGAAAAGCTGTCCCATCAGTAACTTAAGTTTTTCATGAGTTCTGAAATCTTGAATTCTATGTGAGTACAGGAGAACCAAGAGCCTTGTGTCAGTAAAATGCAAATGGCATGGCCAGAAAGAGGAAAACTCAAATGTAGCTGGAACACTATGAGAGCTGGAACACATTCATGAGGACATAAACTACACGATCCTCAGCACAAAAAGCTCTATCTTGACTACAAATTAAAGTTATACATTATCTCCTCTTGTACGAAATAATCTGTTTATCAACAGAAACAAAATATACAGTTATCTTGAGATGTCTTCATTTCCCCTCTTCCTAAACCCAATGATCCTCACTGAGTTCACCCCTGTAAACCCTGATATTTCTTGCTTTAAGCAACAAACCTTCACAGCTGAGGTGTTTCAGAACCTCTGAGGTTTTCTGAGACCTTGGTTAAATCATACTTAAGTGGACAGGAAGGCAAAGAGAAGTACCTGCTCCAACTCCTTCGCAAAGAGCACTCCTACATTTTGAGGCACTCCCTTCTCCACCCTCCTCCAGCTCCAAGGCATTAGGAAACCCCAACGTCGTGGTTAATTGCAAGCTAAAGGATATCTATGAACACACATACCTTGATTACCACCTATACCTTCGAAGGACCAGATCCCACTGTGTCCCACCGGAGCAGCTAAATTGCTCCCGATGACAGAGGGGGTGGAAGTTCCAGTTTGTCTAATACGTGCAGAGCGTTCGGTCCCAATGGGGACAGGAACTTTTCTGTCCTGAGAAACAGTACTGGGCTTCTCTGATCCCAAGGACACGGCTGAGGGGGTGGGAGATGGCGCTCGTACTCCAGAAGACACCGACTGAGCAGGAGACTCTGCAGGAACAGCAAAGAGAGCGCTTAGGAACAGCAGCCAGACCCTCTCAAGGCACCACCAACCCATCCTTTAATGCCCAGCCATGCATCCAACAAATGAAAATGGGTAGTTTCACGCCAGATTCATCCAGCAAACACTTCAGCATCATTTTAATGGTTTTGCTTTCAGATCAGAGACCATTCACCATGGATGTAGTCTTACATAAAATGATTATCGTGCCCCGTCAGCTCAGCTACTGGCCATACACCACAACCGGTGACAACAGACGGTTCCAAATCTTAACTAAGCCGTTTTGCTTTCAGATCAGAGACATTTGCCATGGATGTAGTCTCTTACATAAAATGATTATTGTGCCCTGTCAGCTCAGCTACTGGCCACACACCACAACCGATGACAACAGACGGTTCCAAATCTTAACTAAGCATTACTGTGTATCAGCAACAGCGGATTTGAGGATTATATGCAAAAGCAGAGCTGAAATAAACCCATGTTGTTGTTGTTGGGTTGTATTTGTTTCTCTTTTTTTAATCCTGATTTGTTCTATGTGGGGTTTTTTTGTGGCTTTTGTTTGTCATTATTTTTGCCAATAAATCAGACTAACTTGTTTCCTGAATACACCAGCACTCAACAGTTTATTTGTTTCCTGTCAAAAAAACTCAGCTATGTAGCCAAAACTGCTGGGCTAAATGGGGAAGAAGGTACCAGAACTTGTCCCAAGTACCTTCTCCTGGAATACAGGACACAGCTCTGTTTTAAGGACATCAGAAAAACTAAGCCATCACCACTGCTGAGCCAGCTTTCCTGAAAGACTGTTACAAGGAACATCCCTGGAAGTGCTTGCCCCATCCCTGGAAGTGTTCAAGGTCAGGCTGGATGGGGCCTTTAGCAACCTGCTCTAGTGGGAGGTGTCCCTGCCCAGGGCAGGGGGGTTGGAACTCGATGATCTTTGAGGTCCCTTCCAACCCAAACCATTCTATGATTCTATGATTCTAAGGTTTACACAACTCACACCTGGAGTATTACCTTCACAAACCATAAAACACAAGCTTTTCTTTGCAAGGTGACTAAAAAGAACGTCACGCACAGCCACAGGGCAAAGTCACCTGCAGCAGGAATGAGGAATTCTCCAACAGCATGACCTTGGCCCCTAAAAGCCCCACAGTGGAGAGCAGAACTCGCATGACAAAATCTCATCTCAAAATGTGGGATTGCATGCAGGTTTAAAACATATCTAACAACCTGAAACTCACCGTTTGATGCTGATGAACATGGAGGCAGTAAACTGAGCGGGGAGAAATGCTGTCTGTTGAAGTTAGCAGCTGCGGGCGCTCCGCCCAGGGGCGTCCCCGGCGCGTACATCTGACCCCCCGAGAGCGTGGAGGCGAAGTTCCCCAGGTGCGTAGAAGAAGGGGTCACAGAAGCGTAGGGGGAGTCCATACTGACAATACCTGGGAGAGAAACAGGCACACGTCACCCCCGGGGCTCTGCGGAGAGGTCGCCCACATCAGGGAAATAAGTTAAAAGGAAAACTTTTATCTAATCAATTCTTCAGGTCTGGTCATTGCCAATTCCCCCAAGAGATGTCTTGGCAATATGCAGCAGTTGAGCTGTGTGTGCCAATCAAGAATGATGCTTATGTTATCATGTCTTGAATGTAACTAAATTCAAGGAATATAATACACATTCTGGTATAACTGCACATGAGAAAATCGAGCATTTTATTAACCTGCAACTTAAATTTTGTAGGTTTAGAACACATGATTTTGCGCCAAGAACAGTGGAAGTAATGGTAAACATTTGAAGACTCTCTCCTTCCTTTTTCTTATTTTACAAGTCACCTGCAGCAGGAATGAGGAATTCTCCAACAGCATGACCTTGGCCCCTAAAAGCCCCACAGTGGAGAGCAGAACTCGCATGACAAAATCTCATCTCAAAATGTGGGATTGCATGCAGGTTTAAAACATATCTAACAACCTGAAACTCACCGTTTGATGCTGATGAACATGGAGGCAGTAAACTGAGCGGGGAGAAATGCTGTCTGTTGAAGTTAGCAGCTGCGGGCGCTCCGCCCAGGGGCGTCCCCGGCGCGTACATCTGACCCCCCGAGAGCGTGGAGGCGAAGTTCCCCAGGTGCGTAGAAGAAGGGGTCACAGAAGCGTAGGGGGAGTCCATACTGACAATACCTGGGAGAGAAACAGGCACACGTCACCCCCGGGGCTCTGCGGAGAGGTCGCCCACATCAGGGAAATAAGTTAAAAGGAAAACTTTTATCTAATCAATTCTTCAGGTCTGGTCATTGCCAATTCCCCCAAGAGATGTCTTGGCAATATGCAGCAGTTGAGCTGTGTGTGCCAATCAAGAATGATGCTTATGTTATCATGTCTTGAATGTAACTAAATTCAAGGAATATAATACACATTCTGGTATAACTGCACATGAGAAAATCGAGCATTTTATTAACCTGCAACTTAAATTTTGTAGGTTTAGAACACATGATTTTGCGCCAAGAACAGTGGAAGTAATGGTAAACATTTGAAGACTCTCTCCTTCCTTTTTCTTATTTTACAGAATGTCTATATACACCACAAGCAACACTGAAGTGGATTTTTTCCCCAGTCCAGGATCTATCAGAGTATTACTTTCACAAACCATAAAACCCAGGCTTTTCTTTGCAAGGTGACTAAAAGAACGTCACGCACAGCCACAGGGCAAAGTCACCTGCAGCAGGAATGAGGAATTCTCCAACAGCATGACCTTGGGTCCCTAAAAACCCCACACTGGAGAGTAGAACTCGCACGAGAAAATCTCATCTCAAAATCTGGGATTGCACACAGGTTTAAAACATATCTAAAAACCTGAAACTCACCGTTTGATGCTGATGAACATGGAGGCAGTAAACTGAGCGGGGAGAAATGCTGTCTGTTGAAGTTAGCAGCTGCGGGCGCTCCGCCCAGGGGCGTCCCCGGCGCGTACATCTGACCCCCCGAGAGCGTGGAGGCGAAGTTCCCCAGGTGCGTAGAAGAAGGGGTCACAGAAGCGTAGGGGGAGTCCATACTGACAATACCTGGGAGAGAAACAGGCACACGTCACCCCCGGGGCTCTGCGGAGAGGTCGCCCACATCAGGGAAATAAGTTAAAAGGAAAACTTTTATCTAATCAATTCTTCAGGTCTGGTCATTGCCAATTCCCCCAAGAGATGTCTTGGCAATATGCAGCAGTTGAGCTGTGTGTGCCAATCAAGAATGATGCTTATGTTATCATGTCTTGAATGTAACTAAATTCAAGGAATATAATACACATTCTGGTATAACTGCACATGAGAAAATCGAGCATTTTATTAACCTGCAACTTAAATTTTGTAGGTTTAGAACACATGATTTTGCGCCAAGAACAGTGGAAGTAATGGTAAACATTTGAAGACTCTCTCCTTCCTTTTTCTTATTTTACAGAATGTCTATATACACCACAAGCAACACTGAAGTGGATTTTTTCCCCAGTCCAGGATCTATTTTAACTTATTCTTAACTTTAACTTGGTCTTACTAAGACCAAATGGCACCTATTAGCCAAGGTATTGAAAACACAAGAACTACTACCCTCTTGATATTCTCCTCAGTGAAGAAAGGGATAAAATAAATTCTTAGGATTTTAAGTTTCAAAGACTATTAAGGGAGTTTGTTACCACCCAGCTGCTGTGGCACTTGTGTCTCCTGCTCATAAAGCACGAGACAGAAGATTTTAATTTATAATTTCACGGCAATAGGCAGCGTAGAGTGTGCTCAAGTCAAAACGCAAAACTCACAGAGAGCACCTCAAAAGCTACTCCACATCATGATATTCACAAAATATGAAAAAACTAAGTGTTTTCTCTCTCAATTCATAACCAAAGCTACATGAACAACTCCCAGCCCCTACCAAAACAGGCCCAGATGGTACGAACTGCGTGCACACTTTCTGGAAGCTACAGAAAAGTTCTGTGCCAACTCCTCAGCCTCTGGTTGGGCTGAAGGCTGAACTTCTCACTACAGAAGTCAGGAAGTCAGTGAAATTAAGTTTTTCGACCAAATTTAGTAGCAAAGAGAACATACCCCCCTAAAAGCCCCACAGTGGAGAGCAGAACTCGCATGACAAAATCTCATCTCAAAATGTGGGATTGCATGCAGGTTTAAAACATATCTAACAACCTGAAACTCACCGTTTGATGCTGATGAACATGGAGGCAGTAAACTGAGCGGGGAGAAATGCTGTCTGTTGAAGTTAGCAGCTGCGGGCGCTCCGCCCAGGGGCGTCCCCGGCGCGTACATCTGACCCCCCGAGAGCGTGGAGGCGAAGTTCCCCAGGTGCGTAGAAGAAGGGGTCACAGAAGCGTAGGGGGAGTCCATACTGACAATACCTGGGAGAGAAACAGGCACACGTCACCCCCGGGGCTCTGCGGAGAGGTCGCCCACATCAGGGAAATAAGTTAAAAGGAAAACTTTTATCTAATCAATTCTTCAGGTCTGGTCATTGCCAATTCCCCCAAGAGATGTCTTGGCAATATGCAGCAGTTGAGCTGTGTGTGTCAATCAAGGATGATGCTTATCTTACCACGTCTTGAATGTAACTAAATTCAAGGAATATAATACACATTCTGGTATAACTGCACATGAGAAAATTGAGCATTTTACTAACCTGCAACTTAAATTTTGTAGGTTTAGAACACATGATTTTGCACCAAGAACAGTGGAAGTAATACTAAACATGTGAAAACTCTCTTCTTCCTTTTTTTTTCTTATTTTACAGAATGCCTATATACATCATGATCAACACTCAAGTGGATTTTTTCCCCAGTCCAGGATCTATTTTAACTTATTCTTAACTTTAACTTGGTCTTATTAAGACCAAATGGCACCTATTAGCCAAGGTATTCAAAACACAAGAATTGCTACCCTCTTGATATTCTCCTCAGTGAAGAAAGGGATAAAATAAAAGCATAGGATTTTAAGTTTCAAAGACTATTAAGGGAGCCTGTTACCACCCAGCTGCTGTGGCACTTGTGTCTTTCTCCTGCTCATAAAGCACGAGACAGAAGATTTTAATTTATAATTTCACAGCGATAGGCAGTGTAGAGTGTGCCCAAGTCAAAACGCAAAATTCACAGAGAGCACCTCGAAAGCTACTCCACATCATGATACTCACAAAATATGAAAAAACTAAGTGTTTTCTCTCTCAATTCATAACCAAAGCTACACAAACCACTCCCAGCCCCTACCAAAACAGGCCCAGATGGTATGCCAATCAAGAATGATGCTTATGTTATCATGTCTTGAATGTAACTAAATTCAAGGAATATAATACACATTCTGGTATAACTGCACATGAGAAAATTGAGCATTTTACTAACCTGCAACTTAAATTTTGTAGGTTTAGAACACATGATTTTGCACCAAGAACAGTGGAAGTAATACTAAACATGTGAAAACTCTCTTCTTCCTTTTTTTTTCTTATTTTACAGAATGCCTATATACATCATGATCAACACTCAAGTGGATTTTTTCCCCAGTCCAGGATCTATTTTAACTTATTCTTAACTTTAACTTGGTCTTATTAAGACCAAATGGCACCTATTAGCCAAGGTATTCAAAACACAAGAATTGCTACCCTCTTGATATTCTCCTCAGTGAAGAAAGGGATAAAATAAAAGCATAGGATTTTAAGTTTCAAAGACTATTAAGGGAGCCTGTTACCACCCAGCTGCTGTGGCACTTGTGTCTTTCTCCTGCTCATAAAGCACGAGACAGAAGATTTTAATTTATAATTTCACAGCGATAGGCAGTGTAGAGTGTGCCCAAGTCAAAACGCAAAATTCACAGAGAGCACCTCGAAAGCTACTCCACATCATGATACTCACAAAATATGAAAAAACTAAGTGTTTTCTCTCTCAATTCATAACCAAAGCTACACAAACCACTCCCAGCCCCTACCAAAACAGGCCCAGATGGTATGAACTGTGTGTGCACTTTCTGGAAGCTACAGAAAAGTTCTGTGCCAACTCCTCAGCCTCTGGTTGGGCTGAAGGCTGAACTTCTCACTACAGAAGTCAGGAAGTCAGTGAAATTAAGTTTTTTGACCAAATTTAGTAGCAAAGAGAACATACCTCTTATTACAAGTTCACATTAAAACAATTTTTAAACACCCTAACACTCTGAAGATGCTGGATACTTTTCTGCAGCCTCAGGCCAAGCAGCACATTATCATGGAGAGAAGAGCTGCTGGTCAGGAAGGGAGGTGGAAACAGCAGCAAAGTGTTTAATTATCTTGGCTATCACAAGAGAGTAGACTGGAATGGCAAAAAGAATGCCTGGGCTCGACTTTTATCAAGTCCATCAGCTGCAAAATAGTCACTAGATTTGACAGGTGGCACTTACAAGGAAGCTGAACTCAACTTTGCTTACAGAATTAGCGATAAATTGTATTGCAGCACCTTTTGCTGCAGGGAAGGTGGCGATTTACTCTGAATGGCCACAAAAGCTGAGGCAGAAAGTGTTATGTGGTCAAAATAAAAACAGGCGGTGGTTATTTAAGTACATTATTAAGGTACAAAGGCAAATCAGGGACTTACCTGAGGGACTTGGAGCTGGCCTCTGTAACGGTGGCCTAAAACCTGGGGCTTTGGAAGTATCCGACTGATGTAAAGGATCTGAATTTGGCAAAAATGAAGACTTTCCTGACAGCATAGATTCCGGCGTCGTCTGGGAGGAGACGACGGAACCGCCCCAGAAGGCATGAGCAGAGGTGGGACTGTTCTCAAACAACGTACTAAAGGGCCCAAAGGGTAAGGTAGCACTGAAGTTGTTACCCATGGACTTGTTTGCGGGATGGGCTGAATTCTGAGAAGCACTTTGTGTACTTAAGGTAGAAGGAAGCTGCACGGAAGAAGGAACACTGTGGGGCCTTTTGATGTGATTAACGTTGAGGACTGCAACAGAGGAGTTTTGCACAGGAGCTGGGTTCTTATGGACGCTCCCAGTCCCGTGGACAGGCGGTCGGATGGCCGGGGTTTCCATCTTGGCCGCGGGCTGAGAAGACCCCATGGAGGTCTGAGACATGGGGTAGGTCATCGGGGCGTTGGTTGGACCTGCCACAGGAGCAGCCGAGCTCGTCGCCACGAGATTTGGAGGCACGACCATGCGAGGATCTGGTGCAGGAACCTGAGGTTGCTGAAGAGGGGGTCGTGCCTCTTGCAGAGGAGCTCCCGGAGGCTGCTGATGAGCAGGGTGCGCGGATGAGGTGCCGGTACCAGAACTGGGCTGCCTACTGCTGGTCGAGCTGCTCGTTTCCACCGCTGGAGGACTACCCGCTTCCGGATCAGACGAAGGTGCACCTTTATTGGGAGAGGTGGCCGTGCAGTCGGAAGGACTGCTCCTGGCAACGCCCGCTGGCTGGGCGGGAGGAGAAGGAGATGACGGGGAAGATGCGGGGTAGTGTTCTTTGGCAGTAGGAATTGGATACGTGGCGTTGGTGGGCGCTGTGCTCGTGTTGCTCGCCGTGGTCGTCACCGTGGTCGTCGTGGCGTTGGATGTCTTCACCACCGTGACGAAAAGCTGTCTTCTGACCGAGGGTGAGCTTGGGCTGCCATTCGCAGAAGAACCAGGCACAGTAGAAGCCACTGAACTCGTCGTCACCGTCGGACTCGTCGTCAAAGAACTGGCTGAATTCACCTGAGAGCCGCTGCTGTTCTGGCTGTTGTGGCGAGGCACCATGTGAGGTTTCGGTGAGTTGGTAGCTCTTGCGGGGCTCAAGGGCCTGACGGGGAACGGACCCCACGTGGACTGAGCTGGTGGGAAAGTACCTCCGAAGTGGGTCATGGGCAACCGAGGCGGACGGATCTGCTGGAAAGTCTGAGCAGCCAGTAAAGCGTGTGCAAACTGCGGAGGAGGATACGCTAACGGGAGAGAGACTTGGAAACCAGGCCGCACGTTGTTCACGGGGTTCTTGATGGTTTTGTGAGTGGACGCTGAGGAAATTGCAGGCACGGTGAGCGCGGAGGCAGTCTGAGATGTCGACGAAGCAGCTACGGTGGTGACTTTGATGCCCACGAGGGAACTGTTAGCAGCTGTGGTGGCGGCGGGTGTCGAGGACCCTATTTTGGAGTTCGCAGCTGAACTTTTCAAACGGTTCTTTGGAATAAGTTCATCGATTTCCTTATCGGGATCCTTAATCAGAGCATTGATCAACTGCGTGGCCTGTCTTGTTGATTCTGTGCCACCCCTGCAAAGAGGAAAGGGAAAGTGCATCTTAAGCATTTACATATATTATAGCAAAGTACCTCCGACACACGATCCAGCCCGTCTTCTGTCATGCTAACACCGGCAGAAAAATAACTCTCTGAAGGCTGAGCTTGGCATGTTCTTACTGCCAATCATTATTTAATAAGCTCAAGTTGAAAACTCTCAAGTCCCAAAAGACCCAAGAGGTTAAAATGTTTCCTTCCCTAAATACTCCTACATATTTAGCCATGTCTAAACAACTCTCATCACAGAATCCTAACATTTATGCTTCACCTTATCACAAGTCTTCCTTTGTACACACGCGACAGTCCCCACTGGCAGTTCCCCTGCCTCTGAGAACTGACTGTCTCAACGTGATCTTTCAAGGGACAGTGAGGTCAAGCCTTTTCATTTTTCTATACAGAGAAGTGTTCTACAACAGCCCCTCCCACCACCCCTGGCAGCAGGAAACCCAGCAGCCTGCTTACCTGATGGTTATTATTCTGTCTCCAGTTTTGTCCTTCTGCTTGTCGATGTCTATGTGCGCTCCCGTGCACTCGCGGATGGCGTTGATGTTACACCCTCCTCTGCCAATCACTCTGGAAATTACAGTCGATGGAACAGAAACCTTCTTGGATCTACACAAAAAAGAAACAACATTAATTAACAACATTAGTCTGGAGAAGAGAAGGCTGAGGGGAGACCTTATTAATGCCTACAAGTATCTCAAGGGCGGGCTGAGGGAGGAGGGAACCAGACTCTTTTCAGTGGTTCCCAGTGAGAGGACAAGGGGCAACGGGCACAAGTTGGAACATAAAGGGTTACACTTGAATATGAGGAAGAACTTTTTCACGGTGAGGGTGGCAGAGCCCTGGAACAGGCTGCCCAGGGAGGGTGTGGAGTCCCCTTCTTTGGAGATTTTCAAGACCCGCCTGGATGCAGTCCTGAGTGGCATGATCTGACATGCTCTGGGTGGTCCTGCTTTAGCAGGGGAGTTGGACTAGATGATCTCTATGGTCCCCTTCCAACTCTCAGTGAAATTAATTGGGAAATGCTTCTATGGCAGTAAGCGGTGAGCAGATTGGTCAAAACAATGGTATAACTCATGAGTCAATCCACCCAGCAGTCATTTTGTGACATCTCTCAGCTCTGCTGAGAAGGTGGTGATTCAGTAACCCCCCAGAGGGCTACACTAGACAAATCATTTTGAAAAAGGACATCAACAAGGGGGACTTGGGGGGAATATTTTGCTTACCTTCTCACCACTTCCTTCCATCCTTCTTCCCTCTTCTGGCCACGTTTAGGACTGGCAATGGTTAGCTTTCCATTTGGAGAAGAAAGGGGAGAAGGACCAGACTTTGTGCAAGTAGACAAGGAATTGCTCGTCACCTCACTTATAACTTCAGACAACCTTTAAAAGAAATTAAATATTGTCATTATACAGTAAAAAAAAATAAAAAATGGAAGGATGACTTGAGTTTTACCCATTCTCCAGTCCCCCTCAACCCATTTTTCTCTTTTAGCACCAAAGCACTGTATTACTAAGAAGTAGGGCAATAACCCTATGACAGCAGCATTGGTGGTGACAGCAACTCACTTGATGGATGATTTGCTGGTAACTGCTTTCCTCTCATCCTTCGGACAAGTGACAAGAACCGATGGCTGCTTTTTGTTGCTCTGCGTGTTAGTAACGGCCGTGGAAGAATGATTGTCACTTTTGTGGCTGCTGTTGCTATTGCTGCTCTCGTCGCTACAGCTGGAAATCCTCATATTGTCACTGTCACCACTTTCACTAGTGCTGCTGCTCTTCGATTCGCCGTTCACTTTCTCCGGTTGGCTATAGGAAATTGGGAGCTGGTCATCAAATATAATCTGAACGTTGTCAGGGGTCACTTTGTTTTTCCTGTTTTTCCTTTTGGAGCTGGTCGTGGTGATGGTGTTGTTCCTCTTCCCGTGGGACCCTGCTAAGGTGGTCCAAGTTGCAGATATACCTATGGTGGTGGTGGTGGTGGCACTCGGGGGCTCCATCGGGACCTCGGGATCATCTGAGGGAAGAGAGAAAAAACAGGGCTCATTCAGCTGCCTTGAGGAAGCTTGTGTGGACATCTGTACAAACAGTATATATGCATACTGTGGAGCCTCCCCCCTTGTTCATCCTAAACTCAGAGAACTCCATTCTTTTCCTTGAAATGAATGCAGCAGCAATTTAACAAATGGGAAGTGGAATTAAGGCATGGGAAGACAGACACAAGCAAGTAGGAGACATAAGCAAGCGTATGAAACTACATTAAAAAATTGTCATGTCTCTTCTTTCAGCATCTCAGAGTGAGGGCACAATCAGTGAAAAGCATTTCCCAGTACACCACATCAAACCCATGGCCAGAAGACACAAAAGAGCCACGTTTCGATGGGCAAGAAGAGAATGATACATATTTGGAATTTCCATATTGCCATTTTTTTCAGCTAATCATCATCATTCGGTTTGTGAGCTTAAAAAAAAAAATAATTGACCTCATTTTACAAGTATTGGGACCTGGAAAATGAAAAAAAAACAAAACCCAAAGCCAAGCCAATACCATCCCCACGGTAAAGTTAAGCCATAACTCTCCCTGAAACTGCTGCTACCAGTTCCTTCCCACAGAAAGACACCAAAAAAGCCCCCACGCAGATCTACAGGCTTAGCAGAAAAGGTAAACAAAAGGAAAGTTTTGACAAGAAAAGCCATTTTTAATACTGTGAATAAAATCAAGGCCATGTTTCAAAAATAAGGCAACTATTTTAAATCACCTTCAGCTTTTAGCTTCTCTTTCTCCTGAGCAGCTTGAAGTTCAAAATTCTCTTTATTTTTCGCCTCTATTTCTTCTAGTTTTCGTCTTTGTTCTTCTTTCTTCTTCCTCCTTTTCTCCTTTCTTTTCTCTCTCTTGGCAGCCAAAGCCAGTCTCCTGCTTTCTTCCCTCAGCTACAAGTCAAGCAGATGGAACAGCATTACAAGATGTCCCATGCATTTCAAGGAACACAAGTATTTCCTGGAAAGCTACATTTGAGACTCATATGTACAAAATAGAAGCTAAATTCTCTATGATCTGTATTTTTATGTATTTAGTTCTCCCAAGCAGATTGTTCACTCATTTTAACAGAAGGTTAGTACAGAAACAGGACAGGCACCCTGTAAACTGAAGTCAGAGTTTTCCAGGTTGTATTTTCTGGACTCTTTGTGTAACCTCGTCAGTCTCAGCGAACAACCCGAACAACCCCTGTCTCCTTTTCCAAGACCAGAGCACAGAATGGTTTCAGCAAGTCTGAACGTAAAGCACGTGCTCTTGTGACACTATACTGGTTCTTTGATTTTTCCATTAAATTTCTACTACAGTCCTATGGGTTCTAGTAATGTTATTAGTACCTTTTTTTAATATTTAAGACACAAAACAGGGTTTAGACCTAAAATCCATACCAATGTTAACGGGAAAATCTACCATGCACTCAACAAAAAAATTACACTCAGAAATTCCTCTTTTGGTACAATAGTTGTATCAGAGTTTCTTGATCCAATTTCTCTGAAAAAGTGAAGTTCAAAGATTACCTGAGCAACGAGACACACGGCTCTGGACACCCCAGTTACAGTAATTACACACACTCCTAGACTTTAATACACGCTTTCACCAATCTTATAAACTTTAAGGAACATGAAACTGGAATTTTATCAAATAAGTCTTCACAGCTCAAACCCTCCCCAACTTGCCTTCTCCAAGTCCAGCTCCTCTAAAAGAATGCTGGCATTTTTGTTGGCCTCAGCAGCCTGTCTATCTTTGGCTTGAACGATTGACTCCATACACAGGTGGCACTTCTTCAGCATCTCCTAAAATGATAAAGTAAACGATAAATGATAAAAATTATAAAGCAGTTTTTACCCCATTCATTCATCTGGGCTGAAGATAAACCGAATGAAACTGAACCTCCAGAAGGAAGAGCAGCAGCACGCCTAATATGCTATAAGAAATTACTGTTAATTATGTTTTTAATCTTTTTTCTTTTTGTGAACCTTTACACTTAAGCTCACACACACTCTTAGCAGAAGTTCCTTCTGTTTCCTCCACTCTGCTGCAAAAACCACTGTAAACTCTGTGCAAACTTGTTCAACAAGGGGAAAGTGGAGCAGAGTGAGGTAATGGCTGGGAGAACGCTGGAAAACAAGCACGGATAACAAATACCACCACCTTTCCCACTGTTTTTGCAGCACTAAGGCACACAAAGTTACTGTAACTGCGTGTTCCCAGGTTTTGCAATGGGTTTTTTTCTGACAAATTCCAAAGGGACGCATCCTTCAGCTGAAGCTGGTGTGCCAGGAGGCCGATGGCCATTCAAAACATCGACTCTAAACCTGAGACACAGCACTATTCCTCCCCAAATATTGAATTCTTACAACCTTACCTTATCAGTAATGGTGGCTATGTATCTCATGCATTCCGAGTCGGATGGGAACTGGTTCACTTCTTTCACCAGGTACCGCACCACTTTGACGTGACCCTGGAGAAGACATTTCAAGGACAAGGCTTTGTATCAGACCAGCGGCTTCTGCTTTGCTCAGAAACACTTCAGCCCAAGCCCTCAGTGCAAAATATTTATTTTCAACTCCTTCAAACAATGTGGTTTTTTTTAAATCTTTATCACCTAAACCAGTGGGGGATGTTTCTTCACATTTATGGACGAGAAGGCCAGCAATGACCTGTTGTCAAGTCACCCTGACTCCAGCCACACTCTCCCATGGCTCTGCCTTTTATTTTGGTAGTTTCTGAACTCCCAGCCCTGGCAGCTTCCCAGCTGCAGGCTCCTGCACTCATTTACAATTTTTCAAGTACTGCAGCACTTGAACCACAGTTCCTTCCTAACAACAATTATCTCTAGAGTCAAATTGGGCTAAACCATACTTTTTCTTTTTTTCTTTTTTTTTTTTTTTTTTTT